AAAAAAAAATGTTACTCTCCCCGTCTGCCGGCACAATAGTACCCAGCTTCTTGGCCCGGCAGTAACCCAAAGAATGGCCTCACACTAGATGTTGTTGAGCAATATTGGAGGAGGGGTGCTCTTCTGTCAGAAGACCCGGGTGTTCCTCTCGTTCCAAATGGTCCAACGAATGAGCATTGTGAGGGAGGCCATGACTTTTCTGTTGGGTGTCCTCCTGCTTGATTGGTTTACCCACCATTCCTTAATAGAATCCTCGAGGTGCCATGTCGGTGTGTCAAGGTTTTCTAGATTAAGCCACTCGTTGACTAAATTCCAAAGGCGTAGGGTGAAGCGACACTTGACGAAAAGGTGCAGCCCGGACTCTTGTTCCCTTTTGCAGAGGGGGCATAGGTGAAAGTTCGGCCACCCACATCGAGCCAACCTATCGGCGGTTCAAATCCTATCTTGTATGGCTAGCCAGGCGAAGAACTCATATTCATATGATAAGTTGATACATGTTGCCTACGTAGATGCTATCCCTGAAAAAGACATACCAGGTTGAGGTGGTTGTGGAAGGATAGAAGTCAAATAATTTTACTGTCCCAGCTTTATGTATTAATTATTTTGCACATTCGTTGAATTTTACTGCATGTACAGGTACGATGTTGCTTTGGCAACGAATGCACTAGGAGCCAAATATGGATCCGAATTTGCACAGAAGTGTCCCAATCTGAAATTGTTGCTTCATGTTTCTACTGGTACGCGTGTTTATTTATACATGCCCTTTTTTGTTGGGGAAAAGATGAGTGTATATATGTTTAGCCAACTATAATGGCGATCTCCTTTTTTGTCCGTTAGCTTTTGTAACTAGTACTCAAGTTTACTGGAGAAAGCACTCAAGATGGGTGAATCACTACAGCCTGGTTACCACTTGGACATTGAAGCTGAGTTGCAGTTGGTTGAGAAGGTCAAGACTGAACTCACAGCGTCTAAGAGTGGTAGTTCAGACCAATCATCGGAGAAGACAGCCATGAAAGAACTTGGCTTAAAGAGGTCTGACCACTCTACATGTGCTATTTCCTTTATTTTAATAATATATATGATGTTCTGGACTTCGGGATGTTATTCCACGTGCAATTATATTAGAGCTATCTTGGTAAAAGGAATTCCGGCAAACAATTTCATTGAAAAATCTGACATACCATTTTCACATGACCAATGTAAATATTTTTTTATGTGTTAGTACTCAAAGATACAGTCATCTAAATACACTTGTTTTAAACATCTTATATTTCTGATGGGTGACTATATTACTATATTTAGGGAGACCAGATAATAAAATATTAATCAAATCACTGAGATATTTAGGTCATTACTAAGGTAGTTATCATATCAAACGCTGCCACCTTTAGACATCTCGTTTGGACCATTATAGATCATGGCCCGTGCCATCTAGAGAGGTGGTTGATTTATTATGCCACATATCATACGTTTAAAATGGTTGGTCCAAGGTGAAGGGGCACTGGTAAAAAAAAGGGTCAAATGTGCGACACATTAGTCCCGGTTTGTAACAAAACCGGCACTAATGTGTCCATTAGTGCTGGTTCCAACGGCTAGGCGGGAGGAGCTCTTTAGTACCGGTTCGTGGCGAACCTTTAACACCGGTTCGTGCCACGAACCGGTACTAATGAGAGTGGTGGCAGGATGTTGTCAGAGTGGGGACCCTCCAGCACCTTTACTACCGGTTCGTGCCACGAACCGGTACTAAAGGTCGTCCTATATAAACCCTTCGTCCATCAGCACTCTGTTCTTCCCCCTTTCCCCTCTCCCTCTCCTCTGTTCTTCCCTTCATCCTCTCGAGTTCATCACAAAATTTGCCTCAAATTTGTCAAGATTTGCAGGCCGCCATCCATTCAAATGATCACAAAGGTTAGCAACTTTGTCCTTTCATCTCTCATTGCTAGATTAGCTCTTGCATTGGTTTATATAGTGATTAATTGTGGGTTTTAGTAATTTGAGAGGAATTATATGTGGTAGTATTTGATTTATATGCAAATTGAGGTCAAAATAACACTTAGTTTGCATATGTAGGTGTGGTTTACTTAGTGCCTTCTAAATCTCCGTCGTAACCACCGTCGATCGCCCGCACCGTCCCGTCGCCGGCACCACCTTGTGGTGAGCCTCTTGTTCATGAAATTTTATATAAAAATTGATGTTTGTGTGATTTGGATATATAGTTACTCGTATAATTATCTTACCCGTACGTTGTTTGTTATACATAGTGCCATGGTTTTGATATTCGTCCCCGTCGGCCCTCGCCCTTGTTATGATTCGGATGTGGTATATTCTTTTTTAAAACTATTTGTTGCATTTCGTG